TGATGGGTGTTTCCCGCTTCATTCACCATCCACCCCTGCAGCTATTCATTCCTTCTTCCTCGTTTAACGTGAGGCGCGGCAGCAGAAAAATGCTTCTGAGCTGCAGAGAGCTGTTGAGCGGCTGCAGTTGACAAAGTGTGTATTTCTGTGACCCCTGGCTGTATGCTGTCCCCAGGGCTCCACTTAATTTGCCTCTCTCTGCTCTGGGCAGGTGGCTGAATGTAAAAACTAAGAGTGAGGATCATGGAAGAAAAATGGAAACACTCTTGTGCCATATAATTGTTATTAGAATGACGACTCTCCCTCAAGTTCATTGGAGGGTGTAAGACAGGACGATAGTGGGCAAAACCACTACAGCGGTGAACTGCAAAGGTGGACCTTGAAATCCTTTAGACGTTCTAGAGTAACACATAACATCCACACAGAGCTGCAGCCTTGGATGCGCAGGTGCCCTCATCTGTGAGATAGCACAGAGCCTTGAATGAATAATGGGCTTGTGTCTGCAGAGGGTGAGGCGCTCACTTTCTCTAGACCTCAGTTATTGTGGGCTTATTCGCTGACCATGTAGCCTTTAACCAACAGTAGAATCAGAGTTCCCTGAAGTCTCCTGTATTATCATAATTATAAATATTGAACAGTAAAGTTCTGTGTGTTCCCTTCGAACTTTGAGTTCCGTGGCTTGAAAACTGCAGCTTGAATAAATAGTTTGTCATCCTCAGTTTTCTTCAACAGGAGAGCAACCTGTTTGCATATTCTTACAGAGTAACGCTGCTTAAAACCCGACTGACAAATCTTAAAGGTCCTCATTTTACACCTTTCCTGTGTTTTATTTGAAGTGTTGATCCATAAGAAGATATATTTGTGGTTTTAAGAACCAAAAACCATCTCAGTGTAGTTTAACATCTCCTCTCTCAGGCTTCTCTCTGGAGCTCTAGTAACAACAGGTCAGTGAGCCAATCAGAAGAGAGGAACCTCTGAGCCTCTCCTCTGACTGGCTGACTGTTTTCTGAGTGATCCAATAAAGATGTAGCAGATTTCAGGTAAACACTCACAGAGAAACCAAATCCTACAAGGTTGGATGGTGGGTCCAGGTGGACGGGGCTTGGGGCATGGCTGAGGGCGGTATTAATATAGAACCTATAATCTGCTTTATAAACAAAGAAGATCATTAGAACTATTCATATAAAAGTTTTGAGAAAAAAAGCACCAGTAAAACAACGAAAACAACAATAAAACCCTCCATGATTTGAGCCTGGGCACTAAAAAATAAGCACTTTCCTGCAGCTATAATGGGCTGTTGTCGAAGTTATGACTCATCTCATATTCTCTGCTTGCAAAATAGGTTTTTGAAAAGAGCAGATTAACTGTGCTTTTGGAAATATTGACTAATTTCAACTCCCAACATTTTGTATCTGATGGTGGACACAGTGTTCTTTTCGGAATATAAACAAAGTGTCTTCTCTCATATTGATGAACCAATGCGCCGAGGCTTTACTATGTGACGAGATCCTGCTCCGCCGACTGAAAATGACTGTGGGTGGCCGCAAGTGAACTGACTGAACCTGGAGATTCAAGTGAACTGAAAATCTATTTCTGTTCCTGCTGAAACTGAACATGTGACCCTGTCCACCTGCAGAGAATCACAGGAACGGCCACACCACATGCACTGAGTCTGACTGAATGGGAAAATAATGATTGTCTTAAACATCAGCTGTTGTTAATGGCCAAACATCAGATTAAATCCTGTGCTTGACAAGGACGCATAAGATTTGGGCCGGTTCTTCAGAAACCTAACTGGAAGCCACCCAGTACAACCACAGTCTCGCTCGCGGGGGGGGGAGAGGTGCTTTTGTGGGCTCCTGCTCTTCCGCACCAGATTTTCCCTGCTGGCCTTTTGGGATTCAACACACTCACCGCTGCAACTGCTTGTTTACATTCCATCTGCCGAGCCGTCGGCCGCAATCACAGCCAGGGCCACTTGATTTTGACATTGATGTCGCAGTGACCGAAATCAGTCCTGAAACACAGTTATTCAGCTGTAACCACAGAGCTGTGCCACTGTCAACACCTCTGTAATGACTGACAGTGGGCCGGTTATCAAATAGCGGCAAAAATCAGCAATTTTAATTTCTTTTCATTTGCCTTTTTACAGAAATTCTGACTACACGGTCGTCCTCGCAAAACACGACACGCAAGTGACACAAGTCGAAGCCGTTCTGCTCAAGAATCATCACGGTCTTTAGTCCAAACTGATTTCCATGACGATCATGTCTCAGCCGTGTCAAAAATCCCACTTTAACCTTCCCCTGTCCTTTCATTTGCATTTTCTCCTGATTATGACAGTGAATTTAATAAGTGAAATCAATAATGGATCAAAGCCTTGACCTTCCTCGAAACCACCAGAAGAATCCTGATATTTTCCACTAGATTAAAAAACATTAGAAATTATCATAATTCATTAGGTCTATCACATTATCATGGTTTGCAGCGGGTTTCTGTACTTATCTAATTTCAATATGAGCTGTGCTTGTTTCTACTGGTCTGTGATGACTTCTTTTTAATGGTTTTCATTAGAAGATGAAGATGATGATGTGGTTTATCAGGGTTTCTCTTATCAGCTGTATTGGTTTCTAATAGTTTCTAATGGTTTCCATCACAGCGTGTAATGACTTGTATCGGTTTGTGATGGGTTCTTTTGTATCCTCTAATGTGTGTAATGGTTTATGATGCTTTCCATTGCAGACTGGAGAATGCTCTAATGGGTCCCATTGGTGTCCAATAGTTTGTGATGGTCTCTTATGGTTTCTATTGTCAAGTCAAGTCAAATTTTATTCATATAGCCCAATGTCACAAATCACAAATTTGCCTCAAGGGGCTCAACAATATCCAATGTGCTTAGACCCTTGGGATAGTGTGATGTTATGGTTTCTAATGGTTTCTAATGGTTTTTATTGCTGTGTTTAAGAATTAATGGTGGCTTCTTTTGCATTCTCAGATGTCTCTGCTGGTTGGTGATGGCGTGTACTAACAACAGTCTTCTCAGACAGTTGCTTGCTTTCTATTTTAGTTTGAATTCTATAAAGGCCTAAATATAGACATTATTTAAAGCTAAAATCAACCTCTGTGATGACGCATGATGTTGCCGGGAGATCTGCAACACAGCCAAGCGAATCCTCAGGGAACTGCTGCACAGCGTAACGTGGGGCCTTTTCACAGTCGGTTGACTTCTCTGTTTTTGTTGAATGTGTCTCTACAAGCTCAGAAGTCAGAAGTCACTCACCTGGAATTCAATAAAATCCCCGGGAATGTTGAGGAATGCCGTTCTTGTCGTACTCATCCCAGAGACAGGAGGAGAGGATGTGATCATGACAGACGCGCAGGAGAAAGTGTGAGCTGGGATTGGTGAGGAGTTAACCCTCTCCGCAGCTGCTCGCGCCACTGAAGAAGCTGCTTCATGCACAAAATAATGTTTTTAAACTCCCCCTATCAGAGATTTTCAGTGATGAAGACGGTCATAACGTGACTGTGAAGGAGCTCGCACTGTGCTGTCCTCCCCTTGACCTGCTGTGACCTCTCATCCTCTGGCTCCAGAAGTTTATGTTCTTGAACTTTACACATGATCTCTTGACTTTGTGAACTTTGACCTTTTTCTGAACTGGCTAACAGCCATCAGTCGCTGGGAGGATTCCCTGTGTTGACAACAGGGAACGTCTGTTATTTTCTCCCTGTCCGTCTTTCTTGGGAAGTTCAAGTGTTCATCACTGAGCCAGAGATTTACACTCATTTCACAAGGTGATGTTATGTTTGGCAGTGGAAAAAATTATGTCAACATATTGATATGATGATCTGATTTCACATAAAACAAACATGTAAACCATGGTATTGGTATTTATAGAAAAATTTAGCACATACACAATGTGGGCTTTAAAGGGACACTAGCAATTTTATTATTGCATTGCCATGAAGTCGGAGAATTCATCATAGAAAGATTAAAATATGGTCTGAATCGCAGCAGCAGACCTTTTGACCTTTAGTTCCTAGTATGAATCACGCTCTGAAAACACCAGAACCTACATTTCCCATCATGCAACTCGATCTTTCATTACCCCTTTCCTGCTTGGTAAATGCCCACGTCTGTCGAACCCCACACCTTCGTGATGCTGCCTTCCATTTATTTCAGAAGTCAGATGTCGGAGCCGGGAATGATGTCACAAGCCGGAAGCTTTTTATTGTCGTTGTTTGATTGTTGTTGTTATTGTTATCAAAACCATATGACAACATTGCATTACACAAACAGAAAGAAGCTGGACAGGACGGTGTGTATGATTGATTCAATGAGAGACAAATACGACAGAAGTGCTAGTAAAGAGTTTATTAATACAGCTCTCACTTCCGTTGATGTGAAGAGCAGCCATCTTGGATTTTTGAGCTCGAGGTTGGTGAGGTTCTTCTGACTTTCTGAGTTGGAAATTCGACTGCAGGGGGTATTCCAAAAGCAATTTTCCAACAGGGAAACTTGGAAATTCAGACTTCCCTGTTCAAACGGACCACACCGATGACGCGTAGTCTTCGAATTCCGGGTGAGATGATCAGGCTTATTTTTTCTCTTCCAGGGCCACAGTAAACATTATACAGCTGTCTTCACAGGCTGAGTACTTCTCTGATGACTTGAACGTACACACTGATGTTTTAGAAATTTGGAAGAATGTCCCTTTAAACTTGAAAAGTTGCTGCCACCACCTGGTAAAACTGCGTGTTCTCGTCACAGGTTGAAGTTGAAGCTGAAGTGAGGTGATTCAGTGATGCAGAACCTGAATGTGAAGCAGCAGCTCTCGGCTCCATTTCACCTGCTGTAACCCTCCGTCCTCCAGCTTCATGTTCTTGAACCTTACTCCTCTTGGACCACATGACCTCCAGACTCTGTGACCTTTGACCTGTTTGTTTTTTGTTTTTTTTTAGTTTTTTTTTTACAATCCCTGGGAGGATTCCCTGCACCGACAGAACGTTTGTCAGTAATTCGTCATTTATTTATATTTCATTTGTCACATGAGAAATGCAGCTTTAAGTAGTTTCACAGTCAAACTGAAATTCAAACAATCACAGTTAAAGACATAAAAGAGAGAAAGCAAACATCATACAAAAGAGGAATATATTAAAACTGAAATGAAAGTATTTTAATCTTGATAAGAATCTAACAGGCTTCTTCTCTGCCTCTAGTTCTCTAGTGTACTTCAAGGAAAGTGAGAGTAATTCTAAAAAAGGATATTTGGCTTCTTCATAAAATCCTCATTTTAAAACAATAAAGATGCAACAGGAGCCAAGAGACTCCCTGGGTCTCCAGAATCCCCCTGCAGAGAGCAAAACGCTGCCTGCTGGGAGATATTTCATCACCACTGAAACACACACGGCACCAACGAATGAAAAAAAAAAAAAAACACACACACAAACGGGCACATGGTAAAAACAGATACAGTACAAAGGTATAAAAAAAATAAAGGAGTAAGAGAAAACAAAACACTTCAGTTACAGTCTGTTTCCCCCGCTAAGCTGCTGATCCAACTCGCACTTCTTCACACTCCTCTCTTCCTTTCTGGGAATTAGACGTCGCGGGGAGTGGATGGAAAAGTAAACACGGCCAAGGCACGTGTGAGTGTATGTGTGTGCGAACTTGTGTGTGCGCATGTGTGTGTGTGTGTGTGTGCGTGTGTGTGTGTAAATGCTTCAGGTAATGTGTTTGTGTGTGGAGGAGGCCGAGAGTTGGCATGTGGGGTTAAAAGTCCAAACCACTGCACTGAAGGAAACACCAGCTGTTGGAGCGATGTCAACAACATGATCCCGTCAAGGGTCACGACAGCACGACGCAGGTGTATCGCAAGACACGTTAAAATAAGCACTTTCTTATAAATATAAAATTCTACCATTATCTTTCCTCTGTCTGTCATCATTTAGTGTGAAGAGGTTCAAAGAAGTTCAAATTAAAGCTTGTTTGGAATAAATAAAAGAACTGGGGAGTTCTAATGTCTCTTTAAGAAATTGAAACATCATTAACAGAAACGATATCACTGATCGTCCTGACAGGTGGGATGAGGAAGCTGCAACCATGTGACATACCTGTCAATTAAGCCAACACCGCCCTCATACACACATCTCTTCAAGAGACTAGTTCGAAGAGGTAAAATGAACTAATAAGAGCACCTTGTGATGAGGAAGTGAGAATTTTGGGGGGCACTCATCGTCTGATGTCACAGCATTTAGAGGGACACTTCTACATCACATCACCAGGAACAGCAGAGTGCAAAGTGGTAATACTGCTCGTCGTCAAAACTGTAAGTCACATGATGCCATTTTTTATATTATGCATCAATTAAAAAAAAAGAAAAAGATTTAAATGGATGCAAAAACATCTGACTTATTTCGTCATCTGTCATTAGAGAAAGATAACTAATGCTGATGTGTTGTGGTGTATAAAGCTGAAAAGCTTCTTAATGCAGCTTCTTTATTCGCCCAGTGTTTAGCTTAGCATCGGCTCCAACATTTAGCTTGCTCCTTGGTTCAGGCATTGCTCTGCTCCCAAACTACCACGATGTGTTCGAGGCCCAAAAGGCCACACTGCGTTGATAAAGCAGCCCAAGTCTGCTTCAAGAAATCAATTTGTCTGCCTCTTAGTTAAGGAGCTATTTCATGTGCGCAAACAATGCAATCATCTGTTGCCTGGTATTGACAGATTCTATTTCTGTCCATTTCTGAGAGTCGTCTCCAACTCTAAAGATTCGAGTGTTGACCTTCAAGTTATAGCTTCAGTCAACCAACCTGAAAATAAGAGCCCTCCATCAGTTCAACAAAACTTTACAAACAGAATGTTCCCCCATATGGTTCCTACCAAGGTTCTCTCCTGTCTCATCACTGTGTTTTCTCAGTCTTTTGAAGAAAACCTCAGAGAGGACACACGTAACTGTAGTAACTTTTTCATTAAAGCAAGAACACCGTGCACAGTGTTCTCAGCTTCTGTACTGTACTGTCCATTCATCAGTGTTCATCTCATTCTTCAGTGGTCGGTCTCCTCCATCACCTCCATCACCACGGTTCTGGGTCCTGTTAGGATCAGGTGGCTGACGGTCCGGTAGTCCAGGTCGAGAACGTTGAGGCCGTTGACGGACACCACGAACTGACAAACCTGTAATAGAGGAAGAGAGCAATAAGATAAGTGAGGGGACCTTTCTCCCCACAAAACAACTCTGCAGTGCTACTAAACTAAACTGTGGTGAACAGAATATGACAAATGCAGACTTTTCAAAACTGGAAAAACAATCACAAATCTTTGTATTTCTTGGGGGAGTTAGAAACCCAGAAACCTTCCACGGAAAAAAGAAGCTTTGGAAAGTGGTTTTAAATACTTTAGGAGAGAAATAGAGCTTCTGTTTTGAGAAAACAAAAGAGGAATCAATGATGGATTAAGTGCTTTAACCTGCAGTTCCACCAGTGCCCACTAGATGTCAGCAATTGACATGAAACCCAAACTTGTCTTTTATCTCTAAAGAATTTGGGAGTATCTTTAGTCATTACATTTCCCATGAGGCCTACCTTCATCCCTGCAGCAGCAGCTGGACCGCAGGGCTCCACAGCCTGGATGTGACACGGCCTGTTCCCCCTCACCACAAACCCCCAACCCACAGCATCGCCCACGATCTGCAGACACACAGAGCTCCGTCAGTCAGAAGAGAGTGTGTGTTAGGAAGAAAGTACAGAAAAATACTTCTGCGATGGAGTTTCCCCTCATATATCAGTCCCTCCTAAAACCAGTGATTCTAACAGAGTAATCATTTACAATATACGTAAATAAATGTGTTAAACCAACTTTGTATGATTCTAAAACTTCATCTTCATCACTGAGGCAGTAAGTCTCTTTTTCTTCTTCTGTCACGAGAAGCATTTACACATAATCTCTCATCTCTTCTCACCTTAATGACATGTTTTTTAAAAAAAACAAAAAAGTATTTCCAGTGTGTTAACTGTTAAATCGTTGACGTACTGTGAAAGTTTTCTTGATGTAGGGTCCTCCTGGTTTTTGCAGCTCCTCAGTGCTCACCGGTCTCTTCAGAACTGAACACGACACAAACGTCAAAATGTCAAAATGTGTTTTTCCGACAACAGCAAGAGACAAAGCAAGACGGAAATGGAATCAACACATAAATACGAGTTAGACATTCATGCCAACAGCTCGTGTTGCATGTGAGACATCTGTTTGCACCTTCTACTGTTACATGTAAAATCTCAATTTCAAAATACATCAAATTCTTAATTTCGAGATTTGATGTAATTATCACGAACAGTCACTGATGCAGACGTCGGTCATTGACTGGCTCTACGACTGTCAGCGCTCCTCCTCACTCAGACTATAACCTGAGATCTTCATGCACCTGATTTGAGCAAACACTGATCTTTGCTGGTGGTTATTCTGATGGTTATACTGTGTATGTGACTTATAAAGTAATAAAACATGGCAGCCGTACTGGAAATACCTCACCATCTCTGGAACTGTTCACTGTCCAACAAAAAATGACCTACCTAAAGCACCTTTAAGATGTATACATGTTGGAGGACACTGTACGGGTGTTTTTCTTTCACCTGATTTGGGGTTGGAGAGCATTGGGGAGGAGGATGAAGAGGAGGAGGAGTTGTTGGGGAGGCCGACCTCTCGCCTGCTGTATCTGCTTCCATCACTGCTGCTCCTCAGCCGGGCTCTTGCGTGACCTCCACATCCTCCCCCTGCGACCGCCTTCACCTCCTTAGAGGGAGTGACTGATGGTGAGAAAGAAAATATCATCATGACCCAGTTTCTGTGTTTAACTTCCTCAATATCAACTTCCAACAATTCTGTTTCTGTTCAAACATGCCTTGATAACGGGTGATGCTTCCTTAAATAGCAGAGATAAGATAAACGGGTCACAGCGTTGGCTGGAGGTGCCCGCCCTGCACTCATTCGACACCAGACGGGCGGACGAGTGGCCAAACGCCTCTGTGATCACCTGTCCCTTTGATCGCTGTGAAAATGAACTCTTTTCTCCATTTTCGATGTGCTACATTATACGGCTTATTTCGTTTTTCTCATATTTGTGCATATTTGTGTTGGTTTGTTGTCTCTGTCGTTGTTTGCTCTAAGGATTCTGCCCACTGACACTCAGCGAGTCTGTGCAAATTAAACAAAAAAAAAAAAAAACCCCTTTGTGCCCAAACAAACCTGGAACAGACCTGGTTTCATCTCCACAGTGTCAACACAGACATGAACGATGATAAGATGATTAAATTTGATTTCAACATAGGTAAATGTTAACACCACAGCTGCTGCCGGACAATGAGAACCAGCTTGGTTCATTAAGTGTTGACAAGGAAAAGCAACAACCCCTCAAAACCAAACTCCCAAAGAGCGAGCACAGAGCGTAGCCTGCAGTCGCACGGCACAATGTGCTTAGACAAGCTGGAGGTGAAATCGGAATATGTAGATTGTTCTGTCAAATGAATGACAATTTAAACCTTCATCTTGCACTGAAGTTGAAACTTCATACCCGATACCTGATAGTACAGGTCCACTGAGTGCACATCGGCTACAACAACATCTTTCACTGCTCCACTCTTATTCAACATATCTGCAAAAACACCATCAGAAGAAACCTGCCAAATTACTCACAGTCAGTGAGTCTTCCATTTTTCTTAATGCTAGAATATCTGCTTGCGGAACGTTAGGTGATATTATGCTGTCACCTATCTTGTGTATCTTGTATCGTGTACCTTCATTGTCCCCAGTTCAAATCTGGATAGGGACCTTTTTTTATTTTATTTTTTTGCATCTTATCTCTTCCAACAAATTTCTCATCAACTCCATACTTAGTACAGTCAAAAAAACAATCATCTCAAGTTGAATGAAGTCGCAGTTAAGCTCAGGCTTCTAACATGAGGTGGGATGCAGACCTGGACCTCCATCGCAGCCTGAGGCTTTGAGCAGGGTGTGTGATTCTTCAGTGATTATGAACAGATGATAATTCTAAAGCCGTGTCACGTAGCATTTTTACACTTATGTTATCGTCTTTATGTGAACCCCGTCGCTTTCAAACAGGATTTTTTTTCGTGATACAGAAATACAAACGATTCCTTTTTAAAGGGTAAAACCCAGAGCAACCCAGTCTCCCTTGTCTTCTGGTCTCATATATTTACTTGGTAAAAACTGACTGATTTTAAAATACTGTGTGTAGCACTGTTTATATTCTTCGGTGGACACGGTGCTCATTGAATCTTCAACTAAACCCACATGTTTTTAATAGGCTGGTTTTATGATGGGATGACACAGTGACCTCATACACCCAGATAGTAAAATGATGATAAAAACAATTTCATGGCCTTTGTCTCATCATAACACCAAGAGTTCCTGTTAAAGATAATCCTTTTCTCATTACTTCCTCTTGAATCCATGGATACAAGATACAGTTATTAGATGCACAATATAATCAAAAATGAGTTTTAATAATGTTTCTAACTTAGAGTAAATGAAGTTGAATTACGTTAATGGCGACATACTTTCTCACTGCAAACAGCTCTGAATATTAATGTCAGCTAAAATATAAAGCTCATTCATCCATATTCGCACTCTTATACTGCATCATCATCATCATCATCATCATCACTTTGTAACTGTTCAAAATGGAGTTAGTACACTAAAGTATTTGATATTTGAAAGGCTTATTTTATAAAATATATCCATAAAAAGTGATTTTAAAGAGGACCAGTGGTGTAGAATAAAACTTTAAATTGTGACTGAACTATTAATGTGTATCACACTTAACTATTTATTTACATATTTATCATATCTATCCATTATTAGCACTATTTTTGTGTTCCTTTGCACTACGTCGCTGTGGGAATTGCTTCGCTGTCTCGTTGTTCTTAACGATGACGATTGTGATGCCTGCCTTCACTTGACCCTATGGTCTGTTAACATAATGAAAACATAAGAAAGATGGCAACACTCTATTTGTGTAGTCCACCTACAGAGTGTTTGTCACATTTCAACAGGTTACAGTCGAGATTCAGCTTCTTCACCAACCCTAACCATTCAATGGTTCACTCAGTGTCGGTTGAATATTTGCGAATACATCGTTGAACATTAGTCGAGCGTTAAAATGCTCAACGAAGATCAGTGAGAAGTTAGAAACAACTTTTGCTGTGACCAGTGAAATAAAGAGCAACACTGTCTTTATTGAGCGGTCAGCCGGTGTGAAAGCACGCTGCAGGCAGCGGTGGTTTGTTCTCCTCACACACGCTGACATCAGATACTGCAGCAATTTATTTTTCCTCACAACAAAGTGACGCAGCGAGGAAGCAAAATAAATTTAACACCTTAAAGCAACTAATAAGCTGTTATAAGAGCTGGAAAACTAAATCTACCATGTTACTCTCAAAGACTCTTTTTCTGACTGAGCAGCTTTTGTGGATAAATTCAAATAATTATTTAAAAAATTTAGTTAAAGGCACCAAAGGCTCTGACCCTTTGCCATCTTCACGACCTTATTTGCGTCTGGCGATGCTGATGATGATGTGGGAATGAAATTGTGTTTTCATTATTTGTTGTGTGAACTGAAGCAGCTCTTACCTGCTGTACGAGGTCCCATCTCTCCTCAGTCCTTTATCCAAACGCTCTGAGAGGAGAGTTTCTGAGGATGAACGCAGAGAAGGGAAGACGTTTACCTGCTCATATACACAGGCAGAAAGACCAGTAGACAGTCAGTCAGTCAGTCAGTCAGTCAGACCATCAGTCTTTAACAGGCCCTGACGACAGCTACATGAGGTTTCTTAATCAGCTGCTCAGTTAAATCTGTGAGTGTGTGTGTTTACAGATCTGAAAGCGAGGGTAGTCATCCAGCAAAGAAAAAAAAAGCATGTGTGTGTGTGTGTGTGTGCATGTGCGTGCGTGTGTGTGTGTGTGTGTGCGCGCGTGTGTGTGTGTGTGTGTGTGTGTGTGTGAGCTAAATATTAAACCACTGAACAAACAAACGGACCCTCTGCAGGAGGGAGGAGGAGACACACGTTCAGTGGAATTTTCCCTGCCTCTGAAATAATAAAGTTATATCAAAAATATGAATTACTTCTCAAAATATAATTTAAAAATGTTACCGAGGCATTGTGTAAAAACAAATATCTAAAATATTCTTTATTTAGATGTGAAATAAGCGAACAAACACGCAGCCTCCGCTTCCCTTGTTGAGCCTGAAGATGCTGCATGTGAAGAGAGAGACTTAATGTTTAATGTGACCTGAAGCTTAAAAACACTGAGTCCACAGAAAAACCTTCGCCGTGCAGAAGCGAACAAACACCTCATGAAACTACAAAAAGCTTAACAAAACAGAGAGCGTCTGAGATACACTGCATTATAGCAAAAAAGATTATTTAGAAAATGATTTCATCTTTTAATTAAAATTACAATACAGATCAGAGGCAGAGCAGGAGGATCCCAAAAGACAGAATGTTTAATAGAAGCATTTCCAAAATAAAAGTAATAAATTTAACCTTCATAAAATGGTAGGCTACATATAAAGAATAAAAGTAGAAACCGCAGGCACTCTTCCAGGTTGCTGGTTCGATTCCACACTAACATGAATGAATGATTTCCTCAGCAGCAGCAGCAGCAGCAGCAGCAGCAGCAGCAGCAGCAGCTGTTGAGCAAGACATCCAGCCACGTGTTTGAGGCTGTGTGGTTTGTACCCTCAGCAGCTGAACCAGAACTGACTGTTCCGAAGAAAATAATAAGAAAAATATCTGTGTTTAACCTTTTGCTCCGTCAGTCGCTGCAGGCCGCAGTTTGTTATTCCTGCTGATAAGACCGGCGGATTTCTCCATGAAAGGCTGACATTGTGCAACTTTAGAATATACTTTCATACAAAGAGAGGTTGGCAGATCTGCGGCATAAAAAGCTGAAAAAAACCAGGAGGACATGTTAAGTTACTGCTTGTAATTTAAATGAGCTTGAAGCACGGTGGCCCTGCAGATTGCAGGAGGCTGCAGCAGAGACTCAGCACTATCATGCATTCTATGATCAGATATTTCCCCACTGTTACAAAAAGATATTTCCAAATGACAAAAGTTAGTTTGTCGAAACTAAACCGTATACAGTCGCAGTATGTGTTCAGTATGTGATGGGTTCAGAACTTTTATGGCTTCAAAATATGAACAAAAATATCATAAATCTGCAGGGAGTCCGAAAACTTTAATCACAAATGTTTGTTACAGAAAATGGCACAATCAGAAATGTTTAAATATAACTGGCAATGCATTTACTTTAGTGTTGTATCAGACTAAGGCCATGCAAATTCATTTTTATTTGGCACATTATCATACACAGAGGTCATTATCAGAGGTCATATCATTATCACAGAGGTCATTCAGTGTGTCTAACAGAAAATAAAAGAAGCGTAAAAGTAGAGGTAAAAAGAAGAATGAGAAAACATTATAAAAACATAAAATCAGATATTATAAAACAGATTAATAGGCAAATTAACCAAAGAGCTAAATTAAGAAATATAACAAATTGTGGACAAATATATCAAATCAGTCTGCAGGGTCCAAAAATCCAGAAAGACCACGAACTCATCACTTCTGGTTTCTTGTCATTCTAGAAAGAGATTTAGATTTTCACACTTTAATCATCATCTTTAAACATCACTCACTTTGAAGATAATAGTGTAAAACGACCAAAACATAAAGTGTCAAATCTTTGAGAGATTCAATCATTGGTTTCTGAGCTGCCGTCTGATTCTGTCTTTCACTGATCTTTTTTTTTTTTTTTTTTTTTAATAAAAAACTGGAGCTTCAGAGTGTTTGAGGAACCAACAGTGAAAATTGTCTAATGCACACCTGGCAGACAGATGTGGAGGATTAAAATCATGCATGGAGAAAAGAAATTAAACACTGCCAGCACCAAGTTTACAGAGGAAGTAATTAGATGCTTGTCAGGCATTTATCTCACACTGTGAAGAAACAACATCCCCACCCTCAAACCACAGTCTGTCAAAACCAATTAAAAATAGATGAGACACAAACGAGGAGATTCCAGTAATGATCTCATGAATTGGATGTGGATCTATTCGGAGTCAAACTGTTTTTAATAACATGCAGATAAATGATATATAAGTTACATTTTGCTGCTCTCGTCAACGCGAACTCATGTGTCAGCGGGGTCGTTCGGACGACGTGGCCAGGAATGACAACAATGAACATCGTCAATGACAACAACAACAACAACAACAACAACAACAACGACGACGACAACATGTTGCAGACAGAGTAAACATGCCTCTGATAGATCCGCATTCTTTCCTGTCTGCAGCGGGAACATTCCTGACTCCTCAGATCACAGCTGATCTGTGGTCAGTCAGCGCTGATGAGTCAAACAGCCAATGTGGTTTCTCAAACTGAAGATTACAACACATGGATTGTGGAGTCATACAAATGATCATAATCATCTTCATTTATTTAGAGGTGAAATAGCAGCTGTTCTATGTTTTTTAAAGGCTGGGTGACTTTGTCTGTTTCTCACAGAATCACTTGAAACCAGCTGATCTTTCCTCCGCTGAAGCGCTCACCTCCTCCTGAATCCACCATCGCTGCTCCTTCCCCTTTGCCTTTCTCATAATGTGGTGTTGGGTACATTCCCAAACCCGCTTTCCCATCAGATCTCTGTGGTGCGGTCAAAACGTTAAAAAAAAAAACCTGCTTGGAACTACCTTTGGGTCACTGGGGTCTTCGTATATCTGGCACCTCTCTTGTCAGTGTCACCTTCAGCTCCCTCTTCGAAGGACTTCAAGGGCGCTGCGAGCCTCATGTTGTTCCCGCGGAGAGCGATGTTGCTGAGGCTGCAGAGCGTCCCAAACCGCTGACCTTCCTCTCCAAGGTCTCTACAGTGGAGATGGGGACTGCGCCATCCTGTAGAGGCCAGAGTATCCTTGGCTATATGCCAAGCTGGTATATCCACGCCTTGAGCTTGCCAGCAGAGTTTATAGCAGCCATATATTCCATGGCATATTATATGTAGGCCTAATGTAAAAGTGGACAAAGCCTCTTGTTGGTTTATACTTTCTATTCAGTTATATTCACTGATGACTGTTGTTCTTTCTGTTGTTGATTGATGACTGTAGTGTCCGCAAAACTATCCCTAAAAAAAATCTGAACATGACAAAAGTATACGACGACTTCTTCTACATTTTATTCAACTGTAACTGCAGGACTTCACACGACAGTTGCGAACAACATTCAACTATACATGTTGGATATGTTGGTCTCTAGAAAGCCTTCAATCCAACCCCAGTGTCTGCTGGGCTGTTATCACTCACTGTTATGACTATAATTATCAATGTCAGTTTTGTCTTCCTAATTATGCATGATCTCATTTTTCTGCTTTCTGTTGAAGGAATCAATAATTTCCAGTGATCAGAAGTATTGGAATTCCTTGAAGCTCTGGACCTGTTCTTAAGGTCAGTAAGTCAATTTTATCATACCAGCATTTTTTCTTTTATAATGAGTCATTCACATTTTGCTTTCACGCACATCTTATCATGACGGTGTGCAGAAGAAAGAAACATTTTCTGCAAGGAAGGAGTCGGATCACACGGGTCCCACCGAAAAGGGACATTTTTAACTACACGAGGATTTAAACTGCTACACAACGGAGAGTAATGACAAGGGAACATTTGATGGCATCAAATCGTATCAAAGAAACATCTGTAGTCTATTACTCAAGTATTAGTGAACAGTTCATCAGTCTACCTAGCCGACTGCGCTGTCAAACAAAAACAAGCTCAGCAGCGGCTTTTAACCTTCGACACAGTGACCTCAGAGCCTGCGATAAGACACAATCATGTCTGCTTGCAAATAAATTCAATAAAGAGCAGCAGTTGTAAAGTGTATGGCTTTATAACAGTCCTAGTGAAGTCGTGAGATGATTGTCATCCATAAACAAAATGTCTCGCCGTCAGTAACTGACGTCATCTTTCCTGTTTGGATTGTTTTCATGTGACACCTCAGATTCAGATCTTTTTCCTCTCAACATGTGATTTAGAGAAAACAACAACAACGTGAAGTCATATATGTTCAGTTCCCACCTGTACGCATGTGTACCTGTTACAACGCCCCGAGGCAGGTGACCTGTGCAACTTGCATTATGACTCACTGATGTTCAGTGTCAATAAAGGAAACCAACCCTGTCTTTATTGTGTTTATACATTATATAACTAGTTTGTTTTCCTGATTAAGTCGTGGGGACAAATGTAATCGTGGGTTTAATTGTGATACCTTATCTTCCTGACTCCCGTCTGTGGTTTAGGTAAGAGAAACATTTGGTTAAGGTTCAGGAAAGATGGTGGTTTAGGCTAAATATAACTTCTTCAATAATAACCCAGACCAGGATCAGTCTGATAATCCAACGGTTTCTCGAAGGGTGTTCGAGTGATGGACATTTCTCTCAAACATTAACATGTAAAAAAAGACTTGCTCCAACACTTCCCTCATTGATGATGTGACATTGTCCTCATGAATTCAGCAGCTCAGTGCTCTAATGCTGCAGAGTCTCATTGATCTGACGGGTCAATACGCTCACCGTCTGCAGGAGTGACAACTCCACAGTCGATATGCAGAGTGTTATAAAGAACCTTTAACACATATTATTGATGCGCTGTGTGTATTTAAGTGCGGTGCACCTGGAAGCTTTCACTGGTAAAACTGTTTGCACATCATGATCGCAGATATTAAAACCCCTGTGATCATTGCACCGCTGTATGCACAAACAGATAGAAACCTGC